CACACCAGAACGTCATACTGTCCCAGTTGTTCAGCGGATTTTTTGCCCAAGCGAATTAACGGTAAAAAAAATGTATTTACAACATTGAAATCTGGCACCTTCGGTGTTCGAAGCCAATCTCTTATTACTGTGCCACCATCCCGGCACCCGTGTGGATCAAACGCATTGCGTCGTGTATAAACAAATCCCTGTTGTGCTGTTTTTCGTATGTTCTGCATTCCCGAGCCATCGTGTCCTTGGTCCACTGCTGTTAATCACATGCCACGTAATTTTGTGAACGGAGTCCGTGTTGCAAATCTCCTCTGACATTCCGTTGACGATTTTAAATCGTTTATGTCAAAGTACATCCTCACAGTCTGGAACTCACTTATTTCTGACTCTTTGTGCCTACCTCGCTGCTGTTTTAGTTTCGGTTCGCTGAAATCCGTCTTGAAGTTTTCACAGGCATCGACGGCCGGCCACTTGGGCACGAATACTTCGACGAGTCGTGGTGTCATTGCGGCAAATGTCCCTTCTGTCGTGTCGTGTTGAACGCAGCTACTGCATTACTTTCTGTTTTGGGCTACTCGCACGCACATTTTGCTACAGACTTCCAATTAGGAATGGTCGCCCTTGCGGCGTGTCTCCTGCTCTCTCAGTGTTTCGGGGATGTCAGTCGAATTCTCGTTTTGTTCATCCGCTGTCGCTCATTCTGGCCAGAGAGAACATGCCTGAAAATCAGTTACACGGCTGACCAGTTTTTAGTAAAGATACTGTTGCGAAGAGTGGACATCACGAATCTTAAACAGTTTGCAGGGTTGCAAGCAGCTAGGGATGATGATTACGGAACAACGGTAATAAATAGAAGGAAAAGGGAAAGTTTATGACAGTTACAATATCGATCTTCGTTTCACTTATATGATGGGACTAATTCCAGCATTCTTGTTTTCATTAAATTAATTTTTCGAGCGCAGATTTCCATTTTCATGCTATCAGTCAGGAGTGCCTATTTTTGAAATCATAATCGACAGCAGCAGTGTGATAGTCTGTATTCTGCCGTTTCCTTCCCACCCATTATTGCCTTGCTACTCATTTCTCTACCTCGGAAGGAAGAAAGGCGAGTGACCACGACTAGGGCTCGAAATGCGGACTTCCGACTTCTGAGTTCGACGTTCTATTCACTGAAAAATTTCGGTGTGAAGCAACATGTGGAAAATTTCTTGTACGAGGAAATTCGTACTATGATACCCTAATAAATGCCTCCCTGTACAATTCAGATAAGGGGCGACGGAGTACGTCTTGCATGTA